GATTTATAAAATGTGAATGTTTCAAAGAGCACTGTGTAAAAACTTTTCAATGGAAGCACTAATAAATAAGCCATTATGTTCCTAGTAAACAGAAGTTTTAAATAAGTGTTCTTAAATTAAAATCAGGGTATGCATTCAAAAGTTAAATAGTTTTAAGTGCACTTTCACCTAAAATGCACGATTTTAACCCAAAATCAACACCACTTAATATAGTATCATAGTACATTATTGTAAACCATAAAACTCAAAAGTTTAAATAAAACTCTTTCAAATGATATATAACTTGATTGGTAAAAAGTATATTTTACTCATGTAATTACAGTAATTAGAGGCAATTAGAAATATAGTCTCCCAACCTGCATCTCTACCTTAAATGACCTCATATTATTACATCCCTTAACCATCTCTCAACAGTTATAGTCTATGAATGCACTCTGTGAACACATTTACAAGTGTACAAACAGGTAGATGCAAAACTTTCTAACATACTGCTTACAATTGAGGAATGGGTAAAATTAAAACTTACAGGGTATGGAAATCTTCCTTGAGCCATCTATGGAGAAATCAGAGTAAACACAATTCATAAAATGATGTGAAAAGAAATAACGATACTGTGAAAACATTAATTTTCATTGGGTTTTAAATTCATTGATTTTCCAGTGAAAACTGAAAATGACACAGTCTCTATACTTTTTCAAAGTGATTTTTTGTGAGCTAAACAACAGACATTAAGGGAGGGAAGTATAGTGGTAGAAAACATCAATAGAGTAGTTAGTTTTGTATGCATTTTTTGAGATAAAACGAAAATATAAATTTGAAGTGTATTTTTGCCGCTAGAAAATAGTTACATGTACCCATGAGGCTTTGTGCAACCATAAGGTACTGCTAAAAACATGATTAACAAATCAACTAATTCCACCCACAAGATGAATTATGTAATTTTAGGAATTTGTTATTCACAACACAAGCTAGTGTTTGATCAAAGTAATTTCTGGTTTACCTTCAGCTCTGGTATTTTAAATAAACATTGGGGACATATACTTTCTCATCCAGCAGAATAAGATGCCAACTATTTAAATAATAAGTTTGGTTATAATGCCGTCTGGAAATTTTCATTCAATTAAAGCATTTCATCTGATAGTATCATGGTGAAAATATATACCTAAATCTTATGTTGACCACAGAGGGCGCTCTTTCAAGAACCATGACTTTTAACATATAGTACATAAAGCACTAACTACTAACTATTGAAAATATGTTGGACTTTTGAGTCAGTTTGGAATATTTAATTAATTTTCAATACAATACTTTTATTATTTATGAAAGAACAGCAATAAAAAATGATCATATTACCACAACAAACTAAAAATAATAAACGATTACCACTGAAATAGTTTTGCAACTTTTTTAAAATAATTTTTTTAACTTTGATAAATGAAAAAAAAAATTTATGTGGTATTTATTGTTCTCGATAAACAATTATCATCAGTAAAACAATGTAAACTGATTTCATTCCATGCAAATCAGTGAAACTTTGTAAGCAGTGAAAATGTTACTGGGGTCTCAAGGACAAAGTCACAGTGACTACCGGTATATTTGCAAAGTACTGTCATCACAAACACCATTAGTCTCCAAATCACAACCATTCCTAGCAGCAAAAATTGAACGGTTTAACACATTGCCTACTGAATTCTCCACAGACATAACAACTCAATGGGAAAGGAAACTGCAGGTAATGTGTTTCAGTTGAGCTGAAAAATACCTACTTCCAATAAAAATACACCAAGACTCCAGACATCTGAAGGAACACCATATTCATCACCAAGCACTCGCTCAGGCTGGAAAAAAAATTACAGAGTTCAGACACTGTAAATATTGACATCAATTCAGAAAATGTGATAAGACGTACTGTATGTACAGGAGATTGCTTATACTATTTCAAAAGGTGTGATGACAATGTCAAGTAATGGTGTGGCATGATCCATGTATGACCTGTGAAAGCACATAAGAGATTAGACAGATTGAATGCATACAACATTTAGTGCAACAATGCATAAAAGAATGTAATACAAAATGTCCATAGATGTGACTTACTGCCATATATGCATTTGTTCCTACATAGGTTTTGGTGATAGAGTTGACAAGTTGAGTGCTTACACCAAAGTCACAGAGTTTCACTTCACCTCTAGTACTGACCAGAATATTAGAGGGCTTCACATCTATGATAAAGACAACATAAAGAGCAATATGAAAGAACAAAATAATAATTATAAACAATAATAACATTTGACAAAATATGGATGAGTGTGAATTTGTCAGAGACATCTTTCCTTCAAATTTACAGGTGGGCATGAAAATTGAGAACAGGTACAAAAAACAACCAAATATCACTGTGTCGGAGAGATTAAATAAATACACAGTACCATCTTACCTCTATGCATAATCTTTAAACTCCATAAGTAGTTTAGGCCTTTCACAATCTGAAAACCAAATAAATATGTATTGAGCATCTCAAACTGTAGAAGACTAACAGAGGGGAAGAGGCTCCCTGTAATATAATTTTAGGGGTACAGTGGCAGTATACACTGCAGCTGTCAGGTTGAATACTTTGTGTGACATCCTCAAAATAACCTTGTTAGAAAACATTGTTGCAGTTTACACCCCCAGCCCCCTTCATTGGTGTGTGAAGTTTAGGACTATGCAATGTACCCCATTTTGGCATATGAAGCCCAAGATTGGGCAGTGTACCCTGCATGGTGTATGAAGTCCAGGATTGGACAGTGTACCCTGCATGGTATATGAAAGCCCAGGATTGGGCCGTGTACCCTGCATGGTGTATGAATCCCAGGATTGGGCAGTGAACCCTGCATGGTATATGAAGCCCAGGATTGGGCAGTGTACCCTGCATAGTATATGAAAGCCCAGGATTGGGCAGTGTACCCTGCATGGTGTATGAATCCCAGGATTGGGCAGTGAACCCTGCATGGTATATGAAGCCCAGGATTGGGCAGTGAA